CCCAATATGAAATGATGCTCAACTAGAAGTAGCACATGTTGCGAGGCTGCTCGGTTTGTGACTTATGTTGCCTTGGTTGGCTCGGCTTGTGGCGTTGAAGGTGAGGGAGTCCCTTTTATAGAATAAGGGCTCGCTCCTCAATACATAAATGATGGGTTAGGAGTGATGCTCGCGGCGAAGCGGTTGCTCAGCTGGCAATGATGCTCTCTAATGAAGGTGAGGAGGTCCCTTTTATAAAATAAAGGATCGCTCCTCAGTACATGAATAATGGGTGCTCTCTAATGAAAGTGAATGAGTCATTTTTATAAAATAAGGGATCGCTCCTCAATACATGAATGATGGGTTAGAGTCCCCCAAGTATTTTTTATGAGGCCCAATATATGGTACATAGTGTAGTCTCCCAAGTCTTCGGTCAATAGAGTCTGTTGGCTGGAGACTTCAAATTGAATCCATGTGTGGGCCGAAGTGACGGTTGTTTGGAGGTGGTATTTGTATACTCTGCACTGAAGCTTTGTAGGTGAAGCTTTGCAAGTGAAGCTTTGAAGTTGGAGCTCTGTAAATGAAGCTTTTGAAGCTAGAGCTTTTATAAATGAAGCTTTTGAAGCTAGAGCTCTGTAAATAAAGCTTTTGAAGCTAGAGCGCTGTGAATGAAGCTTTTGAAGCTGATTGACATGAGTGATGCTCATGAATGTTTATATTGATTGACATGAGTGATGCTCATGGATGTTGACATGAGTGATGCTCATGAATGTTGATATTGATTGGAAAGTTGTAGATCTAGAAGACTGTACTTCAGCTGCTGAAGAAGAATAAGGTCTTGTGCCAAAATTGAGGAGAGAGAAACTGGGTCGCGAATAAGAGAAAGAAAGAGAAGGATTAGGTTTTTTTTGCATTTTTGAGAGATGGGTTTTGCCGCGACTCAACAGGTTTTTGGTTTTTTGGGTTTCTGCAAATTCACGATGGAGGTGAAAAATTGAGAGAGAACCGACATAGCTTTTCGTGTCGTTTTCCACAGACGGCGCCAAATGTTGATGCACAAAATCGAAGGTCTTGGAACAACGTAAATCCGACCGTGAATCTGCAAGAAATGTAAATAACACAAGATGTATAGTGGTTCACCCCAAGGTTTGGGCTACGTCCACACTAATTATTGTATTTCTCTGAGAGGATTGTGAGGGAGAGAACCTCTGTAATATGAGAGGTTTTGAAAGGGTGAGGGGACTTCAGGCCTAGGAGTTGGCCTTCTCTAATTATGAGGGTAATTAGTCATTTTATAGAATAAGGGCTCCTCACTTATTACATATTTGCCCTTTCCTTTATTACATAATTACATTTAAGTCCCCCGAGTATTTGTACGAGATCTAAATACGAATGCCCTAAGTATGGTATAAACAATATTATATTTCATGGTTCTTTATATATCCAAAACAAGTCAATTTGTTGAGAGGTCATAAATTGAGTGGGTTCTTGGTTGTCATTAGAATGGTTAAACACGATGATGCAAGACAGAAAACTTGGGCACACCATTTGCACAAACTATTATGAGTTATATTCATACCATGTTTTTATATCACGTTTATATACCACCTTAAATGACATTTAATGTGGACAGCCATATTATTTAAAAAATTTGCAAAGCCCAAGGAAAGGAAGGAGAAAGACTCCTCGTATACCACAATCATCATTTAATTAACTAGTTTTTCTTAATTATTAGTTTATTAAATAATGAATTAAATTTAAAAATCTGATTAATTCAAATGATGTGACAGTCCACATCAAATGTCACCTAAGGTAGTATGAAAATATGGTACAAAAACATAGTATGAATAGCATTACTCAACTATTATAGTATATTAGTAGGTGTTGAAACTGCAACTGCCTAATAAGCCTACTTAGTATGTTCATCATCCAATTAATTTTATGAACAAGGTGAAAAAAGTTATGGTTTCACCATAAAATCAATTGACAGTATGGAGAGTAGTCCAACTTACTTATAAGTCTATATAAGGTCTCTTATCCCATTAATATGGAATTCATTCTCAATGCAAGAGAATGTTTTGCATGTGGTCCAATATCCCAATAGATAAAGTGTTGGGTTTCTACACATGTTTCTCGGATTTGAAACTCTCATGTTTTTTGAAATATTGTAATAGTCTCGAACCTTTCGCTTCCCCTCAATATTAATAAATTTAAAAATACAAACATCTACACATGTGTTGACCTTAAAAATTATCAAGCCTACGTGGCGCGCAGGCCGAGTAATCTATGAGCTAACTACGTCATTCGGTTTTGTGCGGGGCGTGCCAACTCGTCGGCCGAGCTTGACCGAGGAGTAAAATTTGTTGATGTTGCGTTAGGTACGCTGCTAACTTCTTGATCTTGCGACTGTGGCTGAGGAAGGAACACGTCTCAGCTTTCAGGTTCTAGAGCTTGAAGACAAAGCTACTAATTTTGCAAAGTTCACAAATCGTCGGTGCCAGATTCGGTCACGGTGATTATATTTGAGAGTATAAGTACGCCGAATCGACACCAAAGTATAGGGACACAAATACTCAAAACAAATGTATGTCTTGATTGTGAAAGTGGTTCGGCCGTCAGAATGCCGAACTCTAAAACCTACTTACGAATAACCAATCATAAACGACTCGGCGTTCAATGTGCCGAGTATAGTAACTTGTAACACCTCGTTTCACCGAGAAGGCTAACGAGATGACCTCTGCCGATAAGGATTTGAAAATCCTCCTCGACCAAGACTTGGATAGATAACCAGTCGGCCTTGTCGCAGTGTTGTTTATCCAAACTGAAGGTGCTCCACAATCGGATGATTCTACGACAACAGTGATGTTTATCCAAACTGAAGATGTTCGCCGGTTGCCTTCACAATGCTGTTTATCCAAACTGAAGATGTGTTGGCGAAAAAAGAAAATAAAAAATCTCAAGATGTTTGAGAGGTTTCGCGTAGAGCGAGGGTTTGCGCAGAGCAGTTTGTGTGTTGAATTGGATAGGGCCTTTCACGTTGCACATCGCCTCTGTACTTATAGAATTGAAGTACTTGCTCTCCACGGTCAGATAATGTTGCAGAAACCGACTGAAACTCAAACTCGTAAAATGATTGATCCTTGGCATAGGATCTAAAGCCTATCTTCATATGGCTAATTTTTCAAAATAATAAAAGCTCATTCTGACTTATCTTATCATGACTAAAAACCTAGGCTAGCTAGGCTTTCCTATGTCATCATAACACCACCATAAAAAACCTAGCTTTTCTAGGTCTTGTCGCATCATCATCACCCAAAGTCACCATTTCCTTACCCCATTGTCGCATGCAACCTGACCCTATGAATATTAAATTCATTTTTAATTATCACCATATTTAAATGGATAATAATCTGATCATAATCCAATCCCCTCAGTAGTTTCCAAGTGACCTCATTTATCTGATGTCGTGCATATCTATTAATCAAAATTGATCCAAACCACACTTCCACATCAACTTGAATTGTGCCGCCTGTTTAGCTTGGAGATATATTATTTTCATAAGAAAATGTCAAGATAAATCATTATTAAAAGATAACATTATCTTTTAATATTAATAAAATGGGTAAAGTACAAAAAACTACCTCAACTATTGGTGTCACAACACTTTCATACCCCATCTTACGAATTTGTGCCAATGTCATACCTCCGTCAGTTTTTCTATTAATTTCTCAGTTAATTGCTGACGTGGCTTGATCCGGGACCCACTTTCTATTAAAAAATTATTAAAAACTAAAAAAAATCATTAATATTTTTTAAATATTAAAATAATAAAGAAGGTTATTAAAAAAAAAAAAAAAAAAACTAAACAAAACTTCCCCCCTGCGCCCTCTCTCTCTTCTCCCCCACCTTCATCTCCCTTCATCTTCTCCCTACCTACTGCAACCTAGAAAAAATAAAAGAAAAAAAAAACAAAAACAAAACAAAATTTGTCCCTCACCCTCCAGGCGCCCTCTCTCTTCTCCCCCATCTTCATCTTCTTTCCTCTTCTTCCCTCCATTTGCTGCAACCCAGACAGAAAATAAATAAAAAATAAAAAATAAAAAAACAAACAAAACTCTCCCCCCCCCGCCCCCTCTCTTCTCCCCCATCTTCATCTCCCTTCCTCTTCTTCCTACGTGCTGCAACCCAGAAAAAAGAAGAAAAAAAATTTCCCCCCCCACCCAACTTGCAGAAGAAGAAGAGAGAAGGAAAAGAAAAAAAAAGGTCCCTCCCCCCCATCCCCACACCCAACCTGCAGAAGAAGAAGAGAGAGAAGGAAAAGAAAAAAAAAAGGTGCCTCGCCCCCCCCCCCAACCTGCAGAAGAAGAAGAAAAAGAGAGAGAAGGAAAAAAAAAAAAGATACTAGTTCGTCCATCCCCACCCCCCCCCCCCCCGCGTACCCACCCTTTTCCCTCCACATCCATTCCCCCCATTTTCTCCACGCCCAAGTTCTTAACGAGATCTGGGTTTTTTTTTTTTTTTGGTTGCAAGTAATGGGTGCGAGGTTGGGTGCAGAGGGTGGGTGGGAAGGTGGGGAGGTTGGATGTGGAGAGTGGGTGTGGGGGAGAAGAGGGGGTGGGGAGCGGGGAAGACAAATTGGATTTTTTTTTTTTCCTCTTTTTTTTTTTTTTTTTTCTGGGTTGAAGTTGCAGGAAGGGGGAAGAAGAAGAAGATGGGGAGAAGAGAGAGAAGGGGGGAAGGGAACGAATTGATTGTTGGTTTTTTTTTTTTACTTTTCTTTATTATTTTAATATTTAAAAAATATTAAATGATTTTTTTGAGTTTTTAATAATTTTTTAATAGAAAATGAGTTCCGGATCAAGCCACGTCAGCAATTAACTGAGAAATTAACAGAAAAACTGACGGATGTATAACATTGACACAAATTCGTAAGATAAGGTATGACGTTGTCAATTTTAAAAGATGAGGTATGAAAGTGTCGTAACACCAATAGTTGAGGTAGTTTTTTGTACTTTACCCTAATAAAATTATCTTCACTTTTCTATATAGAGGTATGCTTACTCAACGGCCTCGATTACTTGGGTCGATAGTGTAATTTTGGGTCCAAACAACATGTTTCTCGGATTTGAAACTCTCATGTTCTCTGAAATATTGTAATAGTCTCGAAACTTTCGCTTCCCCTCAATATTAATAAATTTAAAAATAAAAACATGAAAAAAAACAAGAGAATGTTGCAAATTGTTGAGGATTTCAGCTAATAAAAAGCGACAGGGACTCTGTGGTGATTAGCCCAGTAATACACAAACACAAATGGATAGGGTTCAAACGTGGGTTAATTAAGTCAAAATGATACGTACATATTTGTGACGGGCCAGCAGTGGCACAGCAGCAACGTAAACGAGAAAGAAGCGTAAGAAGCAAGGACCTCTGGCTCTTATTCGTTGTCACATGCATGGCAGAAACACACAGACAGATCTTAATGGGACGGCGGCAGTGAATCCAAGTGACTTGTTTCCCCAACCCTCCGCCCCACAAACTCTCTTCTCTCTCTTTATCTCGCTTCAACCAGTCAGTCAGTGGTTCCTTCCCATCAAAGTCTTCTCGACATATATATATAACCCCAAATCCAATCCTACCATAATTCTCACTGGAGCACTACTACTATTATTATTACGTATCTATCAACTGATTACTTCCTCGGTTTATTGGGCACGCAAAAGATCCTGCGAAAACTCTAGATCAGTAGTAGAAATACAAAGCGAGCTTAAGGATGTTGGACTGGGGCCCGGTTTTCGTGGCGGTGGTGCTGTTCGTTTTGTTATCTCCGGGCTTGCTGTTCCAGTTGCCCGGCCGCCATGGCTTTGTGGAGTTTGGCAGCTTCCACACAAGCGGTGCAGCCATCATGATTCACTCCCTCCTCTACTTTGGTCTCATTTGTGTCTTTTTGTTGGCCATCAAGGTTCATTTTTACCTTGGTTAACTAAAATTCTTAAGTTACTCCACCTCCTGTGTACCGATCGAGGTAAAAATGGACACAATCTGAACAATGTGATCAACTTTTGTTTCATCGATATTCTGTGTTACTTCATGAATTTGTAACATTTCAACTACAAATGTTTTGGGATTTTTCAGCAATAATATGTAAGTTTTTGGCGGCTTTGATTAATTGATGAAGGGTGGTATTCTATTTTTCGCAATTTGGGTTGGGAAAGTAAAAACAGCGGTAACATTTACGTTGGATGGTGGAAGGTTGGATTTGGATCATTGGATTTCGATGTGCCTATTTCATTGATGATTGACTTTAGCTCTTACTCGTGGATAAAGCAGACTCGAGCGAAATAGCGGGCGTGGTCCATGTAATATTGCAACCTGATATTTCCGTAGTTAAAATCAATATATATATATATATATATATATGAAAGTATATATGCGACGACATGCACTACAATCAATTGAAAGTATATGTAGCTGCACAGGGATGTTCAGTAAAAACAATAGAATAATGCTCGGGAGATCAACTTTTTAAAACCAAATTTTAAAAATCATATGACATGGTTGTTGATAATTGGATTATGATTTAAGTGTTGATTAACGTGCTTATTTCCTATTAGTGCTATATCATATAGTTTGCATATTTTGTTTTAAAAAATTGGTCTATCTGGCATTACTCAAAAGAATAGAGGGTCAATATGAATGAAGAGGGCACAGATAATATTTTTCACTGATTTGGATGGTCGAAATATAATATGGTTGCAATTTAAAACGAAACGGATTAAATTGTTTTATAGTTAAAAAATTATGTTTTAAACTCCTGTGGTAAAGTCCGTTAGTATCTAAACGCAAAATTAAAAGTTTCGTAAACTCTCAATTAAATTTGTCTTTTTGTTCCTTTAAACTCATTCAACGTTCTCTTCATGCCAACAGGAAAGGGAAAAACAAAAAAACAAAAAAACAAAAAAAGCCATTCAGTGTCCCACTGAATTTGAACTGGGATCGAACTGAAATCATCTATTGAAATCATAGAGGTGAACGATGAAACCGAGAAGTCGCGAGATGGGTGTTAGGATTCGCCGTAGAAATCGAAGTGGGTTTGAGTTAGATATCTAAGAGGGTTGTTGAAATTGTTTAAACTCACATAAGTATTTTGGTATTATGCTTTGATTTTTAATTGATGTTGATTTTGATGATTTGTAAAATTTTAATTAAGCTCAAGAATTGTGGGGGAACCCAAACTGTACTGTGAACGGAGTTTCGTCGTCTAGGGCTTATATCCATGCACCTGCATGCTGGTTTTGAACGTATTAAACTTAGGCCATCTCCAATCGAAAGAAGAGGGTCAAAAGACTCTTTTTAGCCCTATAATTATGCAAGAAAATATATTTTAATTAACAATGTTAGGCCATATTTTATATAATCTCCAAGGGCTATATGCCAAACATAGCCCTTTGACAAAAAATCATCTCCAACCGAGGGGACCAAAATGCCAAACATAATTGATTATTTTAATTAAATTAATATGGTTAATTAAATTAAACTACCATATTAAAATAAGGTTTTCAGACATATTTTGAGTGTCACTTTTCGCCAAATAAATAAGCCTCTGGATTTCTTATCTTTAAATAATCTCAATAATTTTTTGGATAGGATTTCAAATAACACATGACTAACTCTCCATATTTCTTATCTTTATGTAATCTCAATAATTTTTCAAATAGAATTTCAAGTAACACGTATCGCTAAGGTGAGTAACTCTCCAGATTTCTTATCTTTATGTAATCTTAATAATTTTTCGGATAGGATTTTGAGTGACACGTGTCGAGATGTAATTGGTTGTGCAAATTTTAGATAGGATTCTTATCTATGTAACACTTCTTATCTTCAACTTTCAATGATGTAGGTATTTATAGGAAAAAAAATTAGAATTTTTTTTTTTAAATTCGTCCAAAAAAAAATTTTCAAATTTCAACAGTAACCTGATGGCAGCATGACGTTAGCTAGCCGTTGCTAGCTGGCATCATGTTGACGCCAGGTAGCCGTTGGCATTCAAATGGGCTGAGCTGGAGGGCTGGCTGGAAATGGCCAACCCGCTGGCCTGATGTTGGGGTTTGGGCCTGGTGGGGCCCACAAACCCTTTGGCCTAGCCCTCGGTTGGAGACGGTTTTCATATTATTTTGAGCTATTTTAAGCCCTATGTTCCTTTTGACCAAGTCGGTTGAAGATGACCTTAGATATGGACTAAAACGGTTCAGGACTTCGTAGCACATCGGTATTTGGAGCCATTTGTCACAGTGGTCCGTTTTAAAACATATTAGACTTGAATTGAATATGGTGACATCGTCAATATTAAAAAAGGATTAAGGAAAATGGTCATCAACCACGGCTTTTTACAGGGTTTTGTTCATCACGTTGCTGCTTTGCCATATGTCTAATTAGCATCATCCATTCCACAAGGCACCGGCCAAATATGATGATTTATCATTTTCCTGTATATATATATAAAGAGGTGGCAGAAGATTTCTTGATCCACAATCAACACTGATGCTCCTTCTTTTCAACATTCCTTTCTTCCGTTGCTTAATTACTTACACTCTTTGATTCTCTTCTTTCTTCCCTTTTAATACCACACACAAACTCTTTGTAACAGCCTACACTTGCACACAAAGAAGTAAAAACAGTAGGAAGATCATCTCATATATCGTAAAGATAGAATGGCGGATTGGGGGCCGGTGGTGATAGCTGTGGTGCTGTTCGTGCTTCTGAGTCCGGGGCTGCTGTTCCAACTGCCGGGAAGGGGCAAGGTGGTGGAGTTTGGGAACATGCATACGAGCGGGATATCGATCCTCGTCCACACCATCATCTTCTTCGGCCTCCTCACCATCTTCCTCATCGCTGTTGGCGTTCACATCTACACTGGATGACCATTACCTTAGTTTCCACTTTAGAGATTTGCTTTCTTAATTATTTCATTTAATTTCAATATGCATACTTTGTTCAGATTGCTTGTTTTGAATTTGAACAGTACTGTTTGATGTTCTAAGTTTTTCCTTATCATGTACTCCTTCGAACCTTTTTTTTTTTGGAAATTTCTTGTATTCTCTAATTTTTATTGAACGTTACTGGCTCTTTACATCTAAGAAGTTATTTTCTAATTTTTCCTTATGGTCAAAATTGAATGACCATAAATTCTTAAGCATTAGGTGATCAAAAGATCGAAACTTTATTTTGACGTGAGAAGCACTATTGCCTCTTTCCCTGGTTGCTTAAAGCTGAATTGACCCAATGGCCAATGAGATTCAGACTTGATCGAGAGAAAACCACCCCATTGTCGGTTCTTGAACACTTGGCAGTTTGATGTCATTTTCCTTTGGGCTTTTGACATTTTCAGAATCTTCCTTGGTTGTAACTTGTACACATCGCAACCCCTCACTGACTTGTCGGGCATCGCTGCACGCTTTTGTTTTCTACTTGACAATCAATCAATTTTCTCATAGATAACATTATGAATTATCGAGAAAAAGACAGGAGACAATGCACAACTAATGGCAGCCTACATCCCCACTACTTACCTGAATAAAAAAAGAATACGGCACCATTCTCTTTTTGGAGAACTTGCATGGCACGAGTTCATGACAACTGTAGCGCCCAGTGTTATTGGTGCAATGCCTTGTAGAAGGAAATTTACACAGAACATTACATTATTGATACAAAACGACAGTGCAACAACAATATACTCATGTCATGAAAGTCTCTGTTACCTAAAATGACAGCTGGTCAAATTAATTCGTTATGGAGATGATTCCATCCACATCCCGTGCCTCTTCATTTCCCACTGGATGGATTGCGTACATTTAAGTGAACGACTTTAAATTCCCCTACAATTTTCCCATCCCTGCCCACACAAGTTACTACCAACCTTATCGTTGACAAACCAGTCCCAAGATACAAATATGCACAAAACAAAAAGTGAAAGATGTTGAAAACATTGGTATTGTTATGAATGCCCACACACACATTGTCAATGCCCTTGCAAGTTGAAATAGACTTTGGAAACAAAATGGTTGTTTTTCAAAACATGCGATGTAAATTTCAAACTATAAGAACTTGTTTGTATGGAGCCGCTCTATAAATAGAGCGCTCCGACTGCAATTAAAGGAGGTAGAGAGAATCACGGTAGAGAGAGAGGGGAAAGAAGAGGTAGAGAGAATCATGGTAGAGAGAGAGAGGAAAGAAGAGGAAGAGAGAAAAGAGAGGAAGAAGAGTTATTTTTGTACTCTTATTTTTCAGATTATAGTGAAAGCATCAATGATGCCCCGATGATGTACTCCAGTCACACTGACTGTAGAGAAACCTCGTAAATTTTGTGTCTTGTTTATTTATTCCACTGCACTCACCATCAATTTTACAACACGTTATCAGCACGAGAAGCTCTCATGTCAGTGGAAAGCACAACGTCATAAATCCGGTGAAGCACTATCTACCTCTTACCTCTGTCAGTTAAAATCTCACAGAATAAAAGGTATGTCCATTTTTCATCTTTCCTAACGCGCCAGAAGCGCCCCACCAAATTCTAGTAAGAATTGAAATTTACAACGACCTGTAGTCGTCACGAGATAAGAAAACTCGTACCTGACAACTGGTTTCCAAAGATCCAGAAGAATCTCATCAGACTTCGAAACCCAGATTGCGTCGTTTTCGACGGATCTCGAGAACTCCCATGAATACTCGGTTGTTTGAGATGGTGATGGCAAGACTGACTCCACACAGGCCTCCCTCTCTTATACCTCCATCAATCCCGCTGTCATTTATGTTCCTATATAGAGGTTCTTACTTCGCGATGCCATGTTCTCTAGGCCATGCAAGAAAAATTGAAGAAAACACGGGGATGGAAAATGGTATATCTTATCTGGCCTCTCCCATGGAAAAAGTAATAGTCTGTGGGTTTTTGCAAAGAAAAATAGGCAAAAGCAATGAAATGGTGCATCAACACCTTTTGAAAAACATAAGACAAAATAATAAAATAAAAGGAAAAATGATGGTGTGTCAGACACCATGTGGAAACTAGGAAAAAAAAAACCAAAAGGGTGAAGACTTTTTGGATGGTGTTGTACCATCTGAAAAGAAAGAAGAAAAAAATATATATTTATTTATGTGAATTGGTGTTGGTTTAAAACCCTTTCACGAGATCTATTTACTTTAAATCAATTTATTTATCATGGACGGTTTTACCGCCTACTGCTTTAAGTTTTGATTTATGTGAATGATGCTAAATTAAAGCCCTTATCACAAGCTTTATTTACTTAAATGCAATTTATTTACTATGGCTGGAATTACCGCATATTGTTTTAATTTATTTATTGTACTTATCTTTTGTTACGATGAGTATAACAAGGACCCAGAATTCCTTGATTAGATCAGAACTTGCAGTATCTTGATTCTCATCATATAAAAATGATTAGACCCGAAGTTCTATTATACAAAAAAAGATCAAGCATAAAGTCCCTTGATCCTCAAGATCAAGCATTTATTAAGCGGATGAAATTGATTACCCGCGCTCTGCTCATGAAAACGAAATTGCCAGTTTTCTACATGGGGACATGTCATTTTACATGACACATTATTAAGTTCGGTTGAGACCAGTTGCCAATCATCAATATTTCTCAGTACAACTAGTGTTTGGGCACTAGCCAAACATTATACATTTACGAGTTTTTGGTTGTGTTATCTATGTGCCTATTGCACTGCCACAACGTACTGAAATGGGCATTGATGTTGAACACCATCTATCATTCAATATTTAGAACCCTTGACTGGTGATATATTTACTGCATGGTTTGCGGATTGTCATTTTGATAAGACAATTTTCCTGCCGTTAGGGGGAGAAAATATCATTTCAAAAGAACAATGAGAAAATATCATTCCAGAAGAATGATGAGAAAAAACCATTCCAGAAAAACAAAGAGAATTTGTCTTATTTTGATTCACGAAGCAATCAATGAGAAAATGAAGTAAGAATAATTGAATGATGCAATGATGTGTCAATCAAATGCCAGATGCATTTAATGATGCAACGAAAGTGATTAAATCACATATACTTGTTGCAAATGTGCCTACAAGAATTGATGTCCCTGTTTAGACAAAATAATGAGGCAGTAAATGAGTTATCTGTTACACGCCTGAAGCGTGACAAACCCTCAGACTCAAAAGATTCAGTCTTTGGAAAGAAGAAGAATATGACATTACTGAATTATTACATTCCCAAAGCATAACTATTGCATACCAGAAGCATGACAGTTGCCGCATGGATACACATCCCAAAAAGGACAATCCGCGGACATGGGAATGTTAATGTCTCATGCATGAAGCACGATAGACATATAGGTTCCAATGACTCAACTCCCGGAATTGGAGATTAAAATTCAAGCTCTATAACGCTCAAGACGAGGTTATGATCCGCATTCTTTAAATTACGACTATCCTGGAAGAGATAGTGTAATGCCCTTGAAGAGGCAATGGATATCCAAAGAAATAAAAAGTTTTTATGCATGCGCATGCACAGGAGAATATGGGATCACGGATTGATGATAACCAATGGTAATTTTGGTTTTACAAGTAGCTACTAAAATCATCAATGAGCTGTGTTGATATTGAGTCTCGTTCTTTTCAACGAAAAACAAAGATGGAGAAAGGCAATTCCATTACAATTTTGTAAGAACATGGAAAAATAGACATATATACTTGAATACAACACAAATAGCCAAAAGATGTTGAACCCAAAAGGTTACATATAGGCATTTGTAATGCAGTGAAATACACTCACATGATATGACACAAGGTTACTAATTGAAACCTGAAATTATACTTTTGTAAACGAGTTCATATGAATGGAGAATTATATATGAAGGGTTGTGAGTCGCCCGCATCATATCTCTATAAGTAAATCCCTCAATTATATATGGGAACAAGTTGCTCTGTATAAATTCCAAAGGAAAATGTGTCATGAAGTGTAGAAAATCCCTGAATGATTCATATTGCTTGAAGTAAGCCCCGGAAGGGTAAAGCATAAAATATGTACTCAATACCAATGGATGGTATAAATTGCCTTAGTAAGTACTATCATTATGATATTGTTGCAACATACTAAAATCTCTTGCAAGAATCGATGACATTAAATTAGAACTTCTGAAGAGTTGATGATATTAAAATTGAGACTCCTGAAGAGTCAAGAAAGATTATAAAGTGTTGAGAGAAATATTGTCTCGAACTACAGATCAAACAATACGCCAACACGAATATTATCCATGATGTTTATGATATTAAAGTACTATATGGATTGAAGATTATGAGGTGAATACTCAAATATTTAGACACTAAGAATGATCATTTATCTTCGTGAGGGAAAAGTTGAATTGATATTTGGTCAAGAAGTACCACATCTTAGTGCAATATATGCTTTATTGTATTTGACACAATACATTGAATGAAATAAAGCTTATCTATTGATATCTCCGAGAAATTACAGACATGTACGTACACATGAAAACATGAGGGAGACTTCACAAAGGTTGCTCATGTGAAGCCTCAGTACTCGGAAGTACTCCAGAAGAAGGAGGCACCAGAGGTTGATTATTTGGAACCTCAGTATTTGGTGAAACTTCAGACGGTTGAGACAATGGGTGTCTTTGGAATAAAGACTTGAACCCTTGATTGTCATTTTGAGTCCGACCTTCGGATTCTAGTAGCTGATCGAGCTTTCTTTTCATGCTCGTTAAGTAATTATTTGCAAGCATGTGTAACATTCTATTCTCGTGCTTGAGTCATCTAATCTCTTGTTTAAGACTTGCCACCTCAGCCATCAATGATTCAACTTGGTGAGATCGAACAAGTAGACGTTGGCCCATATTAGAAACAGAGCTCGCACATTGAATACTAAGAGCCAATGAGTCTTGAACGGCCGACTCATCAGACCAGTTTGAAAGGATTCTGTTAACCTTGGGAGTGAGAAGATTCCTAGCTACCACTGTAGCGGTTAGGTCATTCTTCATCACAAAGTTCCCAACCCTAAGGGGACCATTTGAAGATAACAAAGACGGGCACCATATATTATCATGATAGAGCTCGCCTGTATTAGTCCTAAGACTCAAATCTAAGCAAATGTTATATGGGCAAGCCATTTTCAGAAATTGATGAAAGAAAAAGGTTGGATATAGTGAAATCTCATAAATACAGTAGAGACAATTTTCACAAGTGGGAAATCTTCAAAGTGTGCAAATTTGAATACAATCAATACCTCTATAAAAGAAGAGGCAACAAAGCCACTTGTTCAGATATCGAAGAGGCACAACTCTCTGAATTTCAAAAGCCAGTTTTTCCTGAATAAAGTTTGTTGGCATTTTTCAGACGCAATCTCAGCTTTTGGATATCACGTACAATTTTGTCAAAGATCTCTGATAAAGTTAAAAACGCGTGAATTTCACTATTCCAACTACAACAATGTTGCCGACAAGCGTGGATGACAAAGTCACATCCACACCACTACCTGTTATTGGGGAAATCTTTATAGATGTCAACTTTCATCCTCCATGGCAAGGAACACATCCAAAACTCTTAACTCTCTCTCTCATTGCCGAAGATGCATCTGCAACCAAACCTCTTAACATACTCAGTTTTCTTTCTCTCCGAGAATACCTTTTCAAAACAAGTCACACCAGAGCAAGAGTATCTCATATCATCAGGGTCGAAAGCAAGAGTATCTCATATCATGCAATCTCTCTGTCATTTCCGTTGTCCTTGTTCTTACCTGCAAAGACAATGATAAAGAAAGCAATATGTCGGAACCTCCACTCAAACTCCCGGTAAGGAACCGACTGCCTGGAACCTTTCCTGATTGCTTACCTAGCTCTCGAGTAGTCATCTTCAACTGTTGTTAGAGCTGGGTCTCCAGTCACCAAGAAGTGAACCATCCAAATGCAAGGGTTGCATTCCATTCCTGCATCAGATGGCAAATACTGCAGGAGAATATGTCACACGTGCATGGGGGGAAAACCAAGGAAAATACTACTTAAGCAAAGGGAGCAAGTAAGGAAAGTGAAAATGATACATTGAAGCATGTGGAGACAAGCGCAACAAACACGTGTTGATTCATCCCCGACAAAACCGAAGATCACTTGCCACGTGAAGTTCCTCATGGTCCAATTTCATTCAAGATCAAGCCTCGAAGTCCTTGAAGAAATCACAAGTCCGATTCAAGATTAAGTGTCCACCATCCTTAAATAAAATTCAGCTCTAGATAAAATGAGTAAATTCAGACTTTTGAAGCAAGTATAACAGAAAGCCCTCTAGCTCAGTTCAAGAACAAACATGTGGAAAGTTAACAACAAGTAAAGCACCTCTTTCGGCAACTCTTCTTACTAAGAGACTGAAGCAGAATGATCAACGATCAGCTTAAATGATTTGAAAACAGGGGGAGATACTCAGAGCAACTCCAGTGTAGGAGCCCTCCCCCTAGACTATTCACTATTTAATCCACCTAGTGAACAGTAACTGCCCTTAATGAATAGTGCATTCCCCTGACAATTGCCTTTTGCATCTCCACCCCTACACTGAATAGCCCTGGCAATTGGTAATAAAATATTAGTATTTTTTATTTATAATTAATATTATATTATTTACTTTGTATAAATTAATATTATATTATTAATTATATTAATATTATAAGGGAATCCAACACTATTTCCAACAGTTCACCACAACTAAAAAAAACAAAAAAAAAACGCACGGAAGCTGCGAGACGGCGCGGATGATGACGAAACTAACCGCCTACTGCAGCCGCAGTCCCTGTCGCTATCGTCGTCGACATGGGACGACGAGGAGGAGGTCGCGTTCGAGGCGCGGGAGAAGATCCTGATCTTCGACGATGCCGTCGACGACGAGTCCATGGCTGTCCCACCTTTTTCGTGGAAGAAGTTGTGGCTGTTCATCGAACTGGGTTTCCTGATGAGCATAGCGTTCCTGGATCCGGGCAATTTAGAATGGGATCTCAATCGTTGCAGAGGAGATGATGGCTGACGTCGCCCCGACGTCAGCCTTGCGTCACATGGCTCTCGGGCTGGCAATCGCTGCCGGGCCTATCGCTCGGGCTTGGCCTGTCCCTCGGGCTCCCAAACGCTGGAGCATGTCCACCAGGCAACAGCCCACTGTTCAATCCACTGTCCCCCGAGCAAATGCTCCTGCTGGAGCTGCTCTCATCAGGGGGAGCATCCAAAACAGATCAAGGTTTTAACGAGGTAACTCATGTTGATATATGGGCATCCAAGGGGGGTGTTGAAAACATTGGTATTGTTATGAATGCCCACACACACATTGTCAATGCCCTTGCAAGTTGAAATAGACTTTGGAAACAAAATGGTTGTTTTTCAAAACATGCGATGTAAATTTCAAACTGTAAGAACTTGTTTGTTTGGAGCCGCTCTATAAATAGAGCGCTCCGACTGCAATTAAAGGAGGTAGATAGAATCACGGTAGAGAGAGAGAGGAAAGAAGAGGTAGAGAGAATCACGGTAGAGAGAGAGAGGAAAGAAGAGGAAGAGAGAAAAGAGAGGAAGAAAAGTTATTTTTGTACTCTTATTTTTCAGATTATAGTGAAAGCATCAATGCTGCATCGAGAATGTACTCCAGTCACACTGACTGTAGAGGAACCTCGTAAATTTTGTGTCTTGTTTATTTATTCCACTGCACTCACCATCAATTTTACAACACATTATCAGCACGAGAAGCTCTCATGTCAGTGGAAAGCACAACGTCATAAATCCGGTGAAGCACTATCTACCTCTTACCTCTGTCAGTTAAAATCTCACAGAATAAAAGGTATGTCCATTTTTCATCTTTCCTAAAGCGCCAAAAGCGCCACACCAAATTCCGGTAAGAATTGATATTTACAACGACCTGTAGTCGTCACGTTGGTGGAAAGTTAACAATTTTGTACTCTTATTTTTCAGATTATAGTGAAAGCATCAATGCTAACCCGAGGATGTACTCCAGTCACACTGACTGTAGAGGAACCTTGTAAATTTTGTATCTTGTTTATTTATTCCATTACACCCACCATCAATTTTACAACAAAAGATCATTTGTTCCAGAAAACGAAGAAATGTTGAGCTGAGCTATAAACTTTTACAGATTTGAGAACAAGAGATATATAGAGATGTATATGTACAGAACAACACAGCTATCAGAACAACGAAGAGGCTAAGCGACATCCCCCTCCATCTCCCCAAAACTAGGAATTCCACCATCCTTCAACAATTCACTATTTCAGAAGCCATTTCCTCGTATTCAGTAGAGTATTAATAAAACATTTATCCACTGTTCATGCATCAATTACTTCAACAAGCTCTCGTATTTAATTTTCCGCCCCAGGCTGCCTATACAACATTCCTTTACCTATATGCAGCACCACTCTCACAAGAACAACATCTGTGCTGCTGCTGCTGCTCCGTCCTTCTGTAAGACATATCAACTCTCTTGAACCACCTCCTCCCTCTCCTTCACAATAGCTTCCATGCTGCACCAATAGGAAATTTACGCTGACAGTTATTAACAATCTTCAGAGAAGTACCAATCGAGGCAGCAAATAATATTTCCTGTGCGTATAGAATGAACGGGGGAACAGGGACTACACCATTAACCTTGACAGGGGAAAAGAGCAGGGACGATGAACCAAAAAATAACTAAATGTCAAACACGTCCTCTCAGGCCTTAACTTCCCATAATATTTCCTTAAATTTTTTAATAAAAATATACCCCCGACTAATTATACTTCAGATATCATTTTCAATACCTATGTTCCTTGCCAACAAGCCAAAACGCTTTGTGAACAGCCACATGGACCTACATCCAATCCGAGCAGGGTTCTATCATTTTCAATACCTATGTTCCTTGCCAACAAGCCAAAACGCTTTGTGAACAGCCACATGGACCTACATCCAATCCGAGCAGGGTTCTAACTAAATTTAAATCCGAGCTAGCATGTTCATCCCTCAATTGGGTTTGATGAATCTAAACCCTGGTTAGTCAGGCCAGGTCACATTTCAATGATTTCATTGCATATTCAACACTAGTGTTTATCTTCCTTAGCGGCTTTACAAAGCAAACAAAACCTTCCAATCTGTTTCTTCTGTTACAGGAACTTCAAGATTGTGAGACTGCTCAAATTAACAGATGAGAAATTTAGAAGAAAAAAACAAAGTATTCCTAGGATACCAATAAACAAAGATGTCCAAATCAATTTTCCTCATGACGTTTTCTTATTGAACGATCATATGCATTTCTGAATCGAAGGGTATTAATGAAGTTTAATACTTTTTCATCAATGATGGATGAAGGTTGGACAATTGGCACAGTTGTGGCAGCAATCAAAGCGGAATTTGACGAACAGATGGGGGGCCGAGGGAAAGCCAGATACTAATGCATATGCAGCACATGGCTCCGCGCTCTAACAGAGCAAATGGTTTGAGATTAATTTCTAGCTGCTTGTATAGTTCTTCCCCAATCGCGCGATATTCCAATTCCAATCAAAGTCAGTAAATTTAACATCAAATGTTAAATCAAAATGTTTCCAAATATTACCCCCTTTCTGGTTCTAATTAAAGAATATATAATCTTCCATATAAAATATGTTTAGCAAATGGAAACTAATGATATAATACACAAGGAAAAACCAGACAAATTTCATACCAAAAATACAGACGAACAACATCAAAAAAGCCTTAAAAACAGAAGCAGATTATCCACCAATAGACAAAAACAAATATTAAACGCTGAGAATTAACGCTAAAAAGGAACAGAATTTACCAGGAATATCCTTCCGCGGTGTCGACGGAGCAGAGGCGTAGCAAAGAATCGACTTCCCCAAGACGGAGAGGCTCCATAGGATCCCCGCCACATACAACACCATCACCAATCCCAGCACCCACGGCATCAATAAGAACCCAATGAAGAAAGTCACCGATCCGCACAGCATCAGAGCCATCGAAATCCCCAGCATCAACGACGCGAACCCAGCCGGAGAGATCTGCGCCGTCGACGCCGCCGGCGGCCGCCTCAACGACGACGAAGACGAAGACGGCGGCATCACCGTGGAGTTATCGGAGAATTGAATCGGCGTGGGTGGAGATCGGAGGAGGTTAAGAACCAGAGCCGATAGCTCGTAGAAAACCCTAGATTGTTGGTCTTGTTCCTGCTGCCTCCGCATCATCTTTCCTTCTTATTTTCTCGGGAAATTTAGAAAATTGAGGTCAACAACTCTTAAAAAAAACCTAAATCCTTCGAAATCGAAATCGAAATCGAAATTTGGGCGAATTTTTGCTAGAATCGAGGCAATCGGATAAAGAAGTCGGTTTGGATTGGATAGAGTTCTTTCTCTTCTGAATCCTTTTGTAATAATTAAAATGCAAGTGGTGAGTTTTGAGAGGCAGAGTTTGTTTGTTTATTTTGATAAATCTCAGAGAGAGAGAACCGGATTTTCCTTTTCTTTTATTTTATTTTCTCGGAAAATCGGCTGTTTGGATTGGAAGAAAATAACAGAGAAAAGAAAATAAAGAGGGGAGGGAAAATCAGCTATAAATGGAAACTTCAGCTATTTGCGCGCTTTATCCGGAAAGCCAAAAATAAAAAAAATAAAAAATAAAAGGAGGTCGTTTGGGATAGGACGACACGTATGCTGAGGGCACCTGGCGGGCGCGATGTGGATTGGAGTGGAGCTGCAGTCAGTGATGGGCTGTGGGACCTTATCCTCTCCCACAGACGGTTTACAAACTGACTTGGATTGTATGCCCTCCCGTGTCCTCCTGTTTTGTGTGGTCACGATTAAGCCACGTCAACATTTTATATTGTTTTTTTATAAAAATAATAAAACAAAAAGAAATAGTAATATAAAATGTTGACGTGGTTTAAACGTGACCACATAAACAGAAAAGCACGAGGAGGGCATCGAAATGGGAGGGCAGACAATCCAAGTCCTTTACAAACTACTAATACACTTATAGCAAAAATATTGTACAATTTTATTCTTTTTGTTGACAGAAGAATTGTGAGTTTGATGACTCATCCCATCCCGTCATATTGCTATTATTTGTGGGTTTGAATTTTGTTAGGCATTTTTTGCTAAAATGGTCGTCTATATTGGTATAACTTTCATTTTAGTCTTTGAAATTTTAAATCGATAGAGATGATTGTTAAGTTTGTTTACCATCAATTATTTTCTTTCTTTTATGAACAATCTCTATGAAAAAAAGATCAAAATGATAAAAATACATTCAATTTAATAAACAATAAGCAAAATGATTTGACAAAATCTAATAACATTTTTGTCATTGCAATCCTATTTAATAAAAATTTATTATGAAATAACTAAAATAATTGATAATAGATAAATTCAGAGACCACTACTACTAATTTTAAATCACAGGAACCAAATCTTGTTAGAGCTCGAAAAAGGAACATATTGGGGCCCAAAGCTTTTCTTTGCACGTTGGCATGTTTAAGATATTTAAGATATTTTTCTAATCAAATGGTGCCAAATTTGAAGTCAGATCATTCATTGAAGTTGATCCACAAAAATTATTAAACTTTTATGAAATTGGGATGCAATGAGATATCAATCCCATATACGTGGCATTTCATATCCCTCAAATATCATATATATATATATATATGTTCAATTTCATACCCTGACCAGGCCCATTAGTTAACAAATCTCAGTTTGCACAACTTCAACAAAATTACATACATGTCAATGTCAACAGGAGCCAAGCCCCTCTAGACTATTTTTCAAAAACAATTTCAGCTACATAAAGAATCAATTATGTATACTTTTTAGTATAATCAATTATACTTTAAATAAAATTACATGCATGCCATTAGCCCAAACCTCTTCGACCATTTTTGCACAAATTGTTTCACTTATGTGTAGAATTAATTTTGTATATCAATTTGTGTACCTTTTAGTAAAACTAGTTTGTACATACAATTTTAGATTTTTATCACAAATGGTTCATGAAATTGATCCACACCATTAAGATGATCCTTGAAATTAAAAATCAATCAATGTAGTCCCTGAAAATAGGTGTTGCAAATCAATGTGGCATTTCCGCCACAATTATGTTAAAATTTTCATTAAGTGTTGATGTGGCACATAAATGGGCCTCACAAGACTTATGGGTTTTTATCACAAATAGTCTCTGAAATTGACCCACACCGTCAATATGGTCCCTGAAATTGAAAATCAATAAATGTAGTCCTTAAAAATAGGTGTTGCAAATCAAAATGATCCTTCTTGCCACAATTCTGCAAAAAAAAAAATTTATGTGCTGTTGTGAGTTTAATAATTAATTAAAAAATTGTCTAAATACTTTTTTGCATAATGATTTTTTTTTTCTTATTGTATGGCCTACTCCGAAGAGAGATCCCTTCCATAAATTCTTAAAGGCACAAGGCTTAACCAAGGCCCAAGATGGGGTGTGGAAATAGTTTTCAACCAACAATAGACGCACCTCAGTTATAACCTCATTATCTCAAGGCCGACCTCGCTGTTCTTTGCATCAGCAGACCACTAGGGAAGCGCCGAACAAGCTCTCCAAAATTAAGGTTGTGAGGATGTTGATCGCCTAAATGTTAACAGTGGTGTCCCAGTAGTTGTTGCCAATGGGTCAAGCTATCATCAAATATGATCTCGATCCAAGTTCAATTCAGTGAAGGGTGTCGAAATGTGTAAAGATGGGTGTATTGAAATTTTTGTAGAGAATAGAGAGCGATAGAGGTAGAGAAATGTGGGCTGGGATCAGAGGTGATTGCAGGACTGTGTTTTTGGGTTTTGACAATTTTTTATTAACTATTAAATTATTAAGCCTATTTGTAATTTTTTTTAAATTTAATTAGACTTGTGTGACCCATTTATGAGACATATCAACACATAACATAAATTTTGACATAATTATGACGGAAAGACTACATTAATTTGAGACACTTACTTGCAAGACTATATTGATCAATTTCCAATTTTAGAGACCATTTTGATGTCCTGGGTCAATTTCATGGACCATTTTGATGTTGTAAGTTAATTTCAAGGATCATTTGTGATAAATATGACTTATGGGGCTCATTTATATACACATCAGCACTTAACAGAATTGTGACGGAATGATCACATTGATTTGTAACACCTATTTTTAGGAACTCTATTGATTGATTTTCAATTTTTGGGACTATCTTAATAGCAAGGGTCAATTTTAGGACCATTTGAAATAAAAATCCTATAAGTTTTAATAAAATCAGTTTGTATACGTTAGAAAAATAAAAAAATTAATGAAAAGGGTTTGAAAACTTTGAGTTTTAACGATAAAAACAAAATAAATGGTAAAGTGAATGGTATCATGATTGACTTTTTAGTGTAAAAATATGATTTTTCATTAACGTGAACAGTGTCGAGAGTTTTTTGTTAAAGTTCACTAGAAAAATATCTTGTAAAAAAGACAACATAATTATCTATAAAATCAGTTTGTATACTTAAAAAAAATATCTTGTGAAAAAAACAACATAATTATCTATAAAATCAGTTTAACTATTTGTACAATTAATTTTGTATATTTTAATGTCAGCGGTCAAACCTACAACCCTCACCAGCTGTAGATTCAAAAACTTTCCCTGTTTGATGAATAGACATATATTATTAAATTAACAATGATGGTTAAGTATGGGAACACGTATTTTGACTAATGGGGGGACATACATTATTGATATGACATGAAACGTTTTCCTCATGTACAACATTCTCATAATTCAGATAAATAATACACTTTCATGCATTTTCTTTTAGTTATTATTCTTAATTTTGTATCGGGGTTAGTAGTGATAATTAAGTTGTTGCGTTTAAAAGGGTTGATTCAGTTGGTAAAGTTTTTATCTTGTGTGTTGCTCCATCAAAGTTCGAGTTTCGCTGGCAACAATTCTTGTTGGTGCGCTATTTGTAAATTTCTACGTAAATTCATATATGTGGCAGCTAGCAATTAGATGTCACACGTAAGCTATTTTGGTTCGAGATTGTGGATATACCTTGCGCTGGTGATGAGAATAACCAATCTCCCCCTAAACTTAATCGAAACAAGTAATTTGTTACATTTACGAATTTGTATCAAATAATAGGTTGAATATCAAGTATATCATTCTCATAATTTGATCATGTTTCATATAACGTATATTATTAAGGAAGAAGGCCTTATGATTAAACATTCATATGAGTCCTAATATGCCCTTAGAAAATTATAGAAAATAAAAAATTCAAAAAAATACCTTTCTATACTTACAATCTTCGGCAAGGTCTAAACTTGACAATATACTCATTGGATGGTTAATATACGTGTATTTATGAAAATTTCTAAGATTTCGAAAATACAACAAGGTAAAATCATGTGTGCATGGTCAAGAAAAATTCTCCTGCATATACAAAGTGTAAAAAACATCTCTTAAAAATTATAATAGAAAACAACATAACATACTTTTAGAAGCGCATAGCCCCTGTGAATAAAAGAAATAAAAAAGATTTTCGAACACGTAAGCACATTCAGAATGGCAAGTGTTGTATTAAGCGACAAGTAAATAGCGACAGAAAGAAGCAATACTTCTGTCTTGATTGGATAAGAATGTGGCATTCGCCAAAAATGTACGCAATAGCCATGGACATTTGTGGTTATAAAGTCAAGCTTCTCGATCGTCTTGTAGTGCGCACAAGAAAATTGACACTTGTGTAAGGCCTGGATTCATGGGCCTAAATTTTGGTCAGATTGTCCAGCCCAGTAAATTCAGGCCCAACTGACCTTGTGCTTCTTCAAGATTATAAGTTCCACCCTCACAAAGGAGTCCAATTCCTCCAAAATCAAGAGATTCAATTCATGATATTGTGCGGAATCCATTTGTGTTTACATTCTCATATAGTCAGGAAACAAAAGAGTAATTCGTAATCGAAAATTCGAAATCCAACTTCGTGTTGTAATTTCAATTACGTATAAGTAAACATATACCAAAAATGTTGACCTTCAATTGTTTGAAAAGAAATCATGATTTTTAACTAACTTGGCCAAACTCGGATCTGCATAATGCTTTAAACTTTCTGCTTAAGGTTAAATAATTGGTGGTTGGTGGTGGACTGGAAATTGACAATTCTTAAAGGTCCAGAGTTAATTAGGGCATAAATAAATCCATACAATTACAGAGAAATGTCATCATCGTTGATCCTTTTAGGTCAAATAAAAATCAAACATAAAAACAAAACATGCATAGATTGTATCTTGCTTATCAATATTAACTGCAAATAACATGCATGACTATAGCTGCTGCTGTTGTTGTTGATGACCATGCATGCATACTCATGGCAACCATCCTCCCATGTAATTACTCACGCTTGGACCTGCTGTCACCACCGATATTGGATCATTCTGATATCTGCAATTAAACAAGCACATTCATTCAATGAGAAAGATGACTCAAAACCAGAAAGAGAAAGAAAGAGAGAGTATCATCCATATATTACAAGTCTTAAATTTCACAATAGTCACTGACATTAGTTGTACAA